GGCCTCGGGGCGGGGGCGTCGCGGCCCCGGCGCTCGGTCCGCCCCGGCTCCCTGAAGGAGGCCGCGCCTCTCGGCCTCGCCCGGCCTCGCGCGAGAGGGACCAGCCGACGCGGCGGCGGGCTGGGAGGAGCGCGTGCCCGGGGCCGGCCGGCTCCGGCCGCTGGAGGACCGGCCTCCCCAGCGCCTCGCAGTCGGCGCGTCCGGGCACGGTCTCCGTGGCAACCGGGAGCGTGGGGGCGGGGCCTCTCGCGAGACGTTATCGCGGGACTTGGCGGCGCCGCGCCCCGCCGGCGAGGCGCTCCGCCCCCTGTGGCAGAGAAGCGAGTTTCAGCCCCTCCGAGGCCGGAGGCCCCTCGCGCTGGGGCCCCGCCCGGCCTGCGCTCGCACTTGGCTTTGTGCTTGAATCAGGACGTTTCTGAGGTTGTAGATATAGTTCGGCGATTTTCAGCTCACACACACCTGAAGGCCTTGTTAAAAATGCGGATTCCAGGCCACGCGAGGTGCTCACGCCCGGAAATCCCTGCACTCTGGGAGACCGAGGCGGGAGGATTGCTTGAGCCCGCGAGTTCGAGACCAGCCCGGGCAATTTGGCGAGACCTCGTCTCTATAAGAAATCAAAAATTAGTCAGGCGTGGTGGCGCGTGCCTGTAGTTCTGGCTACTTGGAAACTGAGACGGAAGGATCGCCGGAGCCCAGCAGGTCGAGGCAGGGGTGACCATAAGCGTGACACTGGACTACAGCCTGGACGACAGAGTGAGACTCCGACTCAAAAATAATAATTCAGAAATACGGGAGGTGCCTTCGGGGGTCATGATGTATTTGGTCATGCATCACACAGGACACAGTACAATCTGCAGAAAATGTGAGACAATAGCTAGCTATACACTTAAAAATGTTATTGTTCCTCAAAATATAACGTTAAAGACTTCTCTCTTTTTAAAATAATAGGTCAATGTAAGTAAAAAGTGGGACCCCGAGAAACTCAGAATAAACTTAGTGCACATTTTGCCTCAGCATAGCCTTTTTTTTTTAGTTGAGTTCTCACCCTTGTCCAGACTGGAATGTAGTGGCACGCTCACAGCCACCACGGCCTCAACATACTGGGATCCAGCAATCCTTCCGCCTCAGCCGTCCAAGCAAGTGGAACTACAGGCACGCGCTACGATACCTGGCTTATTTTCTTATGTATTGTAGAGACAAGGTCTTACCAAGTTGCCCAGGCTTGTCTTGAACCCCTGAGTTCAGGCAATCCTCTCACCTCAGCCTCCCAAAGTGCTGGGATTACAGGCTTGAGCCACCACGCCTGGCCAGCATTGCCATTTTTGCTTAGACTTTACCCCTGTCACGCTTAGAATCTAGCGTAGGTTAGATAGACATAGATAAATTTCCAGCTCAGCCAAGTGGCTCACGCCTAACCTATAATCCCAGTACTTTGGAAGACTGAGATGAGAGGATTATCTGAGCCCATGGGTTCAAGACCAGCCTGGGAAATTTGGCAAGACCTTATCTCTACAATAAATCAAAAAATTAGCTGCGCATGGTGACATGTGCCTGTAGTTCTAGCTCCTTGGAAGGCTGAGGCAGAAGGATCACCTGAGCCCAGAAAGTCGAGGTTGCAATGGCCGTGAACGTTCCCAGCGTGGGCAACAGAGTGAGACTGCAACTCAAAAAAAAAAATGTCCAATAGGCAGGTTTTAGGAAGCCTTCAGATATTTTACTGCAGGCCAAGCTGGCAGCCTATTTCACCCCCTCAGCAAATCTCTGTCAGATGCAAGACGGACAGCCCAACCTTTCAATTCATGGTTTAACATAATAATCTCTAAGAAACTTTCAGGCCCCTTAGTTGGCCAAAGCAGTAGAAATGATAATAAGACCACTTTTTTTAAAAGGAGTTTGTGTATCGCAAACATCTGACAGGTCTCTTGCAGGAAAATCCCCTATCCATGTCTCTTCCCACCTAGCCCGCCACCCTAGGGCATGAGATGCTTATGTCTGGTTATGTCAAGATCTAAGACTCATGTGACTACAATCAACATCAAAGACCATAGCGCTGGACGCTCCTTTTGCCCCAGACCCCTCCGGGCTCAACCACCCCTTGCCCCAAAGGCCCTTAATTATATACTTGGCCCTTGCCTGTGAGTGTCACCCCCTTTCCAATCTGTGAAAGGTGAATAATAAACTTTACCTCCTTCTACTTCTTACTTGGTTGCAATCTTACATTATTCCCACGGTAATGGCACCAGCACACCTCACCTCCGTTTACCCTTTTGGTAAGTGACACTTCACTAAGGAGAGAGTCTCCCTCATCAAGGCAGTGCTTGGCCAAACCGGGCAGGTCAGCAAAGTTGTGGTTACTATTTACTTTAATCATGGGTACAATCCAGCCTCTTCACGCTCTCTCCTGGACTACGGCCTCACTATGGACTTATGGATTGAAGGGAGCGTCAGAGGATACTGTATTAAATTTCAGCAAACACTGTTAAAAAGTCACTATAGAGATAGTCGCATGGGTTCAGCTTTTGTGGAAGCAGGGCAGTGAAAACATGGAGTCTATTTCAGTAACACTCTGTGATATGATCAGAGCATGAATCAGAGAGGGGGAAAATGAAAAGTGACAGACCTGAAGCTTTCTGCCCAATATTTTTTTTTTCCTTGAGTCGGAGTCTCACTGTGTGGCCCAGGCTAGAGTGCAGTGGCACACTCACGGCCACCACAGCCTCGACCTGTTGGGCTCCAGCGATCCTTCCGCCTCAGCCTTCCAAGGAGCTGGAACCACAGGTGCGTGCCACCACACCCGGCTAAATCTTTGATTTATTGTAGAGACAAGGTCTCGTTAAGTTGCCCAGGCTGGTCTGGAACCCGCAGGCTCAGGCAGTCCTCTCGTCTCCGCCTTCCAAAGTGCTGGGATTACAGGCGTGAGCCACCACTCCAGCTTGCCCATGGAGATTAAAGGAATGAACTTCCTTGGGGGTGGGGGTTAGAGTATTTAAAATATTTGTAAACTTACACGCTCCTTGCGTTTGTCTCTAACTGCTAGCATATATCAGCTATGCAGGCACTCAGAATACGTTTGCCCACTTGCCTAGTTTGATCTGGTTGTAAAAAACTATGCCCTGTTCACTGAGGCCCGTTCTAGAAATGTAAAAAAGCAGCAGAAACATAAAGAATGTTAACATGTATGTTATGTTCTGTTTGTTTTGTTTTGTTTTGTTTGAGTTGGAGTCTCTGTCACCCAGGTTGGAGGGCAGTAAAACACTCATGGCCACTGCAGCCTCGACCTGCTGGGCTCTGACCATCCTTCTGCTTCAGCCCGGCTAATACTTGTTTTTTATTACTAAAGATTTTTTTTTTTGAGTTGGAGTCTCACTCCTTGGCCTAGGCTGCAGTGCAGCGGCACACTCACAACCACCCCAGCGCTGACCTGTTAGGCTCTAGCAATCCTTCTGCCTTAGCCTTCCAAGTAGCTGGAACTACAGGCGTGCGCTACCACGCCCGGCTAATTTTTTATTTATTGTAGAGACAAGGTCTAACCAAGTTGCCCGGGCTGGTCTTAAATCCGCAGGCTCAAGCAATCCACTCACTTTGGCCTCCCAAAGTGCTAGGATTACAGGCTGAGCCACCGAGCCGGCCTACTAAAGATTTTTATAGAGAGTTTTTTAGAGTATTTAAAATATTCTTTATTATTAAAGTTTTTGTCAAATTTAGTGATTTCCTGAGTGTCTACTATGTACTGGAACAAAATAAGGCACAGTTCCTCGTCCTTGGGGACTCAGTCATAGGAAGTGGGAGACGCCTGTAATGCCGTGGAGTGAGCAGCTGTTCCAAGGGTCCCATGGATCACACGGGACCCCCAGCACAGATGTAGGGGAGGGAGCCAGGGGAGGTTTTGTCCAGCAGGGACCACTTGGTGGAACCCATGGCCTTTGGGAGAAGC